GGGCCCGCGCGCTCCCGGAGCGGAGCCCTCTGCAGGCTGCTCCTGCTGACCCTCACGGTGAGCGCCGCGCCCGGCCGGAGGGGGCCCCGACCTCCGGGGGCGAGCGGGATACGGGGAGCGGGGCTGGTCGGCTGGGTTCAGGGTCCTCGAGGAGGCTAAACATGGAGTTGGCTGCGGGCAGGGAAGGGCGGACAGGAAGTGGAGCTCGAGCCGGCGCCGCGGTCCCCCAGGGGCGCGCAGGCGGGCTCGGAGATGTGATCGCCGCGCGCAGGTAGACGCGGAGGCGTGGGCGCCCAACGCGCGCCCAGATCCGTGGCCTCTGGGTGCGCGTCTGCGAGCGGGGCGCGCCGGGCTGCCCCGGGGTGCGCGCCGCCTCCGGCTGGGTGCCGGGCTCAGGCCACTGAAAGGGCGGCCCCTGGGCGGACCGGGCCGAAAGCGAGCGTCCTTGGGCGAAGGAGGGGACTCCTCGCCTTGGGGGGTCAAGCTCTGTGCGTGCGCGGGTGTATGAGGGGGCGCTGGGGGACGGAGACCCTAAACCCCCAGCTCCTGATGACCGGGGGCGGCGCTAGGTGACCATTTACATAGTTTCCATTGTTGGCGGGTGCTGCGTCTGTTCTCGAAGTCTTTCGGGGAACGCTAGTCCTGGTCCCCACCCTTTGTCCCTGGAGGCATCTGGATTTGCACTTCCAGCCCCTGCCCCGAGCGCGCCCCAGCTTCTTTCCCACTTTAAAGCGCGTAACTGTGAAGACCTCACTCCCTCCCGGAGCTGGGAGCCAAAGGAGGTGGAGTAGTTTCGGACCGGTCAGTCCTCCTCCTGGGCGGGAAAGACCAGATCTCTCTGGGGCGCCTGGAGGCACAGGAGTCCCTTGCGGGCGAGCTGCAAGCGCTGCAGACTGGATTCCAAGTGCTGCAGATTGGATTTCTCCTGGTTCTCTGGGAAGAGGAGATAAGTTATTTCGAGGTGTGAAAGAGTGCACAACGTAATAGTGTCCTTTCAGGACGAGCTTGCCAAGTCAACCCTGAAAGACCCCCGCAGGGACTCTGCGAACCAGAGAGGGATGCTCCCCCCACCCCGAGGGGTGGAATCGAAATATTCAGATAACTTCCCCCACTTTTCTTGGGGGAAAAGTACAGGGAAATCGAACTCCAGACCTCACGCTTGCCTGGCAGGCTCTGCGCCACTGAGCTAAATCCCTGGCCACATTTTCCCCAGTCTTATGCTCTTATTTCACAAAGCCTTACGAACTGTTTTAAGTAATGGGACTGTAGTTGTTAGCAAATACTAGAAAGTCTTTGGCAAAGAACTGAATGGATTGAGACCTTTACCTCAAATTCCAGAGCGTAGTCGTAACACAGAAAGGGTCAAGTAAACAGCAGTTGTCGTTTTATGAATGAGGAAACTAAGGATGGAGTAAGTGACGGTTAAACAATATGTTGCTCGTGACTAATGACGTGAAGGTTGGTTTGTGTCCTAAGAAAGTTGTCAGTTCTAAATCGGTAGGCCATTATTTTTTTAGCCCTTATTCTTTTTAAGGAAAAGGCATGGTTTAAGGACCGCAAAAGAAAGTATTACTCTATGCGAAGCTACACGCCACACTTTCAACACAGATCCTTTTGAGAAAAAGCAAGAGTAGGAGCAAGTAAAAGGAAACCGAATCCCCATTGCTCTTCCTTAGCTTCAGGGTGTGCTAGGCTAGGAGCAAGGCGGAGACAGCTGGCCCTGGCTGCACCCTCATCCTACTTGGAAGGCGTTCTGGGAGCCCCAGTTGTGGCTGTGAGAAATGTTTCAGGACTGAGCGTGAGATGGGATTAAACAGAGTGACTTTAAGGGTGAGGCACCCTGTACCTTCCCCTGCACCCTGGAAACCCTTCGCCATCCCGCAAATCAGCATGTCCGTGTTTCCCAGTATTGCCTCATGGCGTTCACTGGTTAACTAACCCCTTGAGCTTTCTTCCTCCTGGGCACCCAAGGAAACTTCCCTCTCTAAGGTCGACGGGGATCTCCTTTGTCAACTCCGAGTACACTTTTTGTTCCTTACACAATTCCAGCCTGCTCTTGTCTAATCTTGAAATTCATTGTTTTTTTTTTTTTATTTGTTTGACCACTTAGAATCTCACTCACTACTATAATGCAGCATGAGATCTACTTGTTTAACAAGTGCTGTACAGTAGATATTTAGAAGATTTTTTGTTTTATGTAACAGAAACTTCATATCCATTTAATAACAAAGCCCATTTTTCCCCACACTTCAGCCTCTGGCAAACACCCTTTTATTTTTTGCTGCTTTGAGTTTGATTGCTTTTTCCTCCATTTTTCCTTGGGATTATGTTCTAGGTCTGCCTCTTGGAATTTACCTCTCCCTTTCCTAGGCCATTTCATCTACTTTTATGGCTTAAAATATCACACAGATGCCAAGAGGTCCTAAATATTGCTAGTTCACAGGTCACTGACTAATAGGCCTTTATATCTCTATCTACTGTGTGTGACACAGCATCTGTTATCTTCTCTCACAATGTCGTTCTTCTTTTAGAGTCTTGTATTTCAATACTTGGCACACTTACTGGCTTTGCTCCTCAAGTAGGAGTCTGGAAGCCGTTCACTTTTCCTTCCTCACTGGTCCCCTCTCCTAGTCCCTCCACAAAGCTCAGTAGGTTTACAATCGAAGATATCTTATGGATGTATCTATCTCAAGTTATATCACAACTTTTTGCTGTTACAAATAATGTCACAATGAATAAACTTGGCTATATGCCATTTCATATCATTGGCATACCAGAAATGGAACTGTCAAGCCAACGTGCAAATGACCATGTAGTTTTAGTAGCTGTTGGTCTCTCCCACAAAGGTTGGATATGCCTAGACAGAGAACTATTTTGCAATGGCATGTCATATCATTGAGGATAAGAGATTATTAGTGTAAGACATGATTCAGAGTAGCTTTGAAACTCGTTGAGCTAGGCAGAAATTTGCCAAAAAGTAAAATTGAATCCATATTTTATATAGAACACCACAGAAAACTCTGAACAGATGAAGTATTTGAGTATAAAATATGATATCATATGTATTAATGTATTATAGAAGAAAACATGATTAATTTCTATAAATTTGGAGTCAGGAAGGCTTATCTCTGACTTGGATCTCAAAAGTTAAACTATTAAAATTTAGAAAATCAGTTGTATGAATACAATCACACACACTTTGTACATCAAGAAAAGAAAACCAAACAACATTATAAACAGTGCTGAAAAGCAATTGGTAAACTAGAAAAAAATATGTACGGATCATATTTTAAATAGTTAGTCTACTACATAATTTTGCAAATTAATAAAAAGTCCAGCATAAACAACATGAAAAATTCTAATAAAGTAATAAAATGGTCCTTAAAATATGAAAATATTTTAGCCTTACTTATAATAGGAAAAGGTGAATTAAAGATACATTGACAGCCAGGCATAATCCCAGGATCCTGGGAGGTGGAGGCAAGAGGATCCCAAGTTTCAGTCCAGCCTGGACTACTTAGCAACTGAGTAAGATGCTTTCTCAAAATAAAGATGCACAAAAAGGGCTGGGGATGCAGCTCAGTGTGAAGACCCTGAGTTCAATCCCCAGTACCACAAAAACAAACAATCAAACAAACAAAAACAAATGCAAAACAAAACTTGGCAAATACCTAGAAGCTTGACAATACATATGTAGGCAAAAAACATGGATAAATAGAAATTAGTGTAAATTTTTGACAAGTGTAACAAAAAGTAAATGTCCTTTATGGGCAATATATAGTCATAGCAAATGCATATGGGGAAGTTGTACACTTCTTCCTTTCAAATTCATGCATCTAATATCTATTTGTATACTAATACTGCATTGGCATGTTATAGGATCTTTTAACCATCTGCTAGGGCTAATATCCTTTTATTATTCTTCATAATATTCCTGTCTAGTTTGAATTGCTCGCATGACCCTTTGAATCAGCTGGTTAGCTCCAAGAAATATTCTGTTGAGAATTTTATTAGGATCATAAAGTTTGTAATTTAATGTAGTGAGGATTGATATATGCATGTTGTGGCTGTTTTTCAATCCAACATAATGATATATCTTTCTTTTTGTGCAAGTCTCCTTTTATGTCCTGCAGAAATATTAGGTTTTCTTCAAATACGATTTGCATGTTTCTTTTCTTTGGCGTGCTAACATTTTATTGTTTTTGTAAATGATTTATGTTACCTAAGTGGTTTCATTTATGGGTGTGAAGACTAATGGTGTCTATATTTTAATAGTTACTTCTCCCTTAATTATCTCATTATGGTAATTCACTAGTTGATTTGCTTGGATTTTCTAGGTAAAGGTTTGGCAAATGCAATTAGTTTTTAAAATTCCTTTTTAGCTCTTGTTTGTAACTCACCTGCTCTAGCCTAATATGCCCTCCATGTAATGTTAAGTATTTTACTGTGAACTTGGAAAACTTACCCTGTTTCTAAGTGTAGCGGGGGGGCTGCTTTTAGTGCTTTCTCATTGGTGTCGTGATTATAGTATCTAAAATTCATATAGCAGAAGTATTCACCAATTCCTATTTTTAAGGCTTTTTATAAAAAAATAATGGCTTTTGAATTGGATCAAGCGCCTTTAAGCATGTACGGTGGTGATAAGGAGCCAGGCCTAATTCATGCTGGAGGTTTCTAGACCAAGCAAGAGATGGGACATGGGTCACAGATCCATGAAAGGGCTCAGCCTTAGCACTCGGGACCCAGATTAAGTGGGACAGGGTCTTCTCTTAGACTGTAGGTGGGCCCTGCACTTTCATTTCATTCCTTTTCCACGAAATCAGGGGCACCACACCATGTCCTTCCCAGCCATTCATTTCCCTACTTTACTGAGATTGCAAATGTCTTACCCTTCGGTTGACTGTTTCATACAGATCACGTTTACCATGACACATGCCTGTGTGCCTGGGATCCTCTTACCATCCCCCTAAAGTCTTAATCTGGCCACTGTCACCGCTTCTCCACCCTTATTACCCCAGTCCCAGTCCTACTCATCTCTCTGTCAGGTTCCTGCTGTGGCGCTTTGGTCTCCTGGCAGCAGCGCTTGCTCCTCTTTATTCTATTCATCACATAAGTAGCAGAATGATCCAGTGTCAATTCCAGATTTCACTCCTTGGCAGCCTCTAGAAGCTACTGCTTCTCTGCACTCAGAACAAATCTGTCTCTTGCCCTGGACTGACCTTTTGTTTTGTCTTCTGTGCTTAACTACCATGACCTCCTTGTTCCTGTAACACAATGCAAGCGCCTCTGCAAGACCTTTGTTCCGGTTTTCGGGAGGCTTCCCCAGTTAGGGAACTGGTTTGCTTCCTCACTTCATTTAGACTTCTTTTGTAGCCTTTTTCCCCTGCTTTATTTTTCATGTAACTTTTATCTCCGCCTCAGCGTTGTGTGACAGTTATAGAGTTGTGTATTTATTTTTTGTCTTTCATTACAATGTAATCCTTCAAGGAAGGATTTAGCTTTCTTCCCAGCTGTAGCCTTTGTTTCTGCCTACCACCTATTAGGCAACCAATAGGTATTGGTTGAATGAATATTTTTTTTAAACAGTACTAGGGATTGAGCCCAGGTTCTTTGCACTGAGCTACAACCATACCTTTCTTATTTATTTATTAATTTGTTTTTTAGACAAATCTTGCTAAGTCATTAAATTGTTCAGGCTGAACTTGAATTTGCCATCCTGCTGGCTCAGCCTCCCAGGATGATGGAATTACAGGCGTGTGCCACCATGCCAAGATTATAAGCAAATATGTTCTGTCAATCATGTTGAGCTGAGATCCTGGGAATTGTCTGATTCTCCTCTTATACTCTTTCTCAGCTGTATAGCCCATGGAAGGTCTCATCTTTTAATTTCCAATTCAGATACATCTCTTCAGTGTCCCCATGTTTAATTTCCAAATTAAATACAATTTATGCCATACCCAATTGTATATAATTTAAATTCTGTAACTACAGGTTTGTTAATATATATGAAATTTTAAAATTTCATCCAAATTTAATGGGTTTAGTTTATGTTTATGGATGTTATAAATGGCAGTGTAAATCCTTGTCAGCCATGTTGCTTTTGGCCAAAGACCTTTGCAAAACTATAGCGAGAGGAATGTGAGTCTTTCAGAAGCATCCATTGTAAAGTTTCAGCCAACAGAATTAAATTTCAGCCTGCTCAAATGTATTCTGCATTGAAATTAGTATACTATAAACCATTTAAGTAAGCTGTTTTCTAAACTGACCTTAGCTTTCATTTATGAGAAGGTGTTCCTTTAAAGTAAGTTTGTGTATCAGAGCCGAGCACTTATTTGTTGTGTGTGTAGCACATGAATACGCTTCAGAGCACTGCACAGTAATAAGCTAGTGTAGCTCTGTAACGGTGAGGAAGGTTTTGGGGAAGATTACTGATTTAGTACTGTAGCGAAGTGGCAGCTGGAGAAAAAAATTGATATTTTCAGGTTCATAAAATTCATTTTGTCTTTCTCTTTCCTGTTTACATACATGTTCTATCTTCTCCAAGTTTTCAGCACTCTCACACAGGTGGGTGCTGGATCCTTGCTATACCCACAAGGTTATTCAGTGAGATTATTACCAAATCACTCTTTCGGACCAGAAAGCAAAGCGGAAGAGGGCAGTCGTCCTCTGAGTTTCTGTGCTTTGTGAGGAAGGAGCCGTCTCTCTTAATGTATTATTGTATTGTTGTTTTGATAGGGTTTATTCCCTTGATTTCTTACTGCAGTGTATGTTTTTAGTTTATTTTGTGAATCACATAAACAGATTTAAAATTATACAAATTTATACAATTACAAATGTACTTATTTTAGATCTTAACACCTGCCTGTGATGCCTGCAAACCAGTGAGACTGTATGTTCCTTCCAAACTGGATGCTGCGAAATTCATTGGTAGAGGTAAGAAACTGCCAGCATTCATAACAATCCTAATTTAGTATTATCTATTAGAAGTCAGTGTCAGTTTTAGAATAACTCTTTTGAGACAGTTAAACTTAATATGGTACATTGTCATTTGTAATACATGTAAGGTCATTCTAATAAAAACATAATTGGTCTTGATTGAAAATATGGTTATAAGGCATAAGTAAAAAGACCTAGTTGGAGTAACAAAGTAATTTTTTAATATTTACATTAATTGAAGGGACCCTATGCATACTTCTAAGAAATTGCAAACTACTATTAAACTATTTCTTCAATTTTAAGACATTGTGGAGTTATTGGAATTCACTTTCTCATACTTTTATTCTTGCCAAATAATTTTTTTTTTGTTTTGTTTTGGCTTTGGTTTTTTTCTGGTACCGGGAATCGAACTCACAACCTTGCCCTAGCCTGGCGGGCCCTGTGCCAGTGAGCTAAATCCCCAGCCCCTTATTTTTGCCAAATAAGTTTTGTGCATCACTCAGTTGTGTAAGCAAAGATCAAACCATTAAGGATCCAGAATAAGAATATTTTACAGTTCCAGGGAGTTCAGTAGTATTTTAATGTAATAACTGCCGATTTTGATCAGCGAGATTCTGTTTCTAACTTTAAGTTTTCTTATGTGTTACTCTGTGGCTAATTTCAGTTGATGAAGAAAATCCATGGTTTGGGTTTGGTGTCAGTATTCAAACATGGAAGTTCATGTGCTTTTATTTCAGAACAAGTGTTTTCTTTATTTTTTTGGATTTTTTCCGGTACCGGGGATTGAACTCATGATCTTGTGCTTGCCGGGCAGGCGCTGTGCCGCTGAGCTAAATCCCCAGCCCCAAGTTTTTTTTTTTAAATGATGTTAAAAGATGACTGTACAAGCCTTAAAAATGATAGATGTGTTTTTGGGTTTTTTTTTGTTTTGTTTTGTTTTGTTTTGTTTTCTGGTACCGGGAATCAAACTCTTGACTTTGTGCTTGCCAGGCAGGCGCTGTGCCGCTGAGCTAAATCCCCAGCCCCTGATAGATGTGTTTAAGCACAATTTAACCTCACAGCTTCAAATGTCTTTCTAAAAATGATAAATTTATAAGTGTAATTTGTGGAATTTGAGTGTTTGGGTTGCTCCCACATCCATCTATTAATGTTAAATCTACATATTGCTATGTTTCATCTTACAAATAACTGCTGTGATGTTTTCCGCAGTCAACCTGGAGGAGTGCTTTAAATCTGCAAATCTAATTCATTCAAGTGACCCAGATTTCCACGTTTTAGAAGACGGATCAGTCTATACAACAAATGCTGTTGTTTTATCCTCAGAGAAGAGAGAATTTATCGTATTACTTTTGGACACAGAGAGCCAAGAAGAGAAGACAATTTCTGTCTTCTTAGAGACGCAAATAAGGGTATGAGGACTATATAAGTGAAGTATGATGACGTCTTTTCTTAAGGTTCATCTAATATTGCCAGGAAGATGTGGAATCAGGAAGGGTATGGGATAGTTTTGTTTGAAGAAGAATGAAAACCATACAGCAATTTACCAGTGTTTAAGTGGAAAAAGGTTGGGTAACACAGATTATTTCAGGTTGCCATTCCTTTTCATCCGAGATATAAAAGGAGAAAAATGGGATAAGATTATAGGCTGAGAATTTTAGATTAGACACAAAGAAGCATTTGTAGCCCTTTTTTACAGGATGGGTTTCCAAAACCAGTTTTAAAAGTCTACCTGTACATAAATAAAAACTATTTTCTCATCTGTCTTAGCATTACTTATAGTCTTAGACAATAGATGACTATTTTAGGAGGAGGTGCGGGTCACAGGAATGCCTACGGCAGTGTGATACCCAAGATGAAAATGACTTCTATTGTCCCTTGGCCATTCCTTGCTGCAGCAGTTTTAAGAGTGGTCACTATATTTCTCACCTCCTTCTAACACAGATCTCTCTGCTGGCCCCTTGGCTCTGCTTAACTGTTGGTGAGTTGAAGATGCTTCTGCTAAATGTGGAACACACATTTGTTTTTTGTTAAATGTGGACAGCATAGTTACTTTTTTTGCATATCTCTCCTCCAGTGTTTTCGCATAGCAGTGGGGCAACAGTAATCTTTTCAGTTTTGTTTCTAGGCTTCTGATCCCATCTCTCTTTCTTCTGTATTTCCACCAAGTTATTTTCTTCAAGAGGATTGTTATAGTAACAGCTAAGGCTGCGATTGCTTCATTATCTTTTTGCAGTGTTGATTTTTGTTTTTCAAGTACTACTATAGTCTTATACATCTCCATTTCCAGCTAATCCTCACGAGAGGAGAAATATGTATTAAAGGTCTAACATCTGAAAATGCTCATTAGCTTTTTTATTTATTTTGTTTTCTCTGTCTTCTAAATCAAGGTACAAGAGGAAAAACATTCTACAGAAAAACTTCTAAGACGTGCCAAGAGAAGATGGGCTCCTATTCCTTGTTCAATGCTGGAGAATTCTTTGGGTCCGTTCCCACTTTTCCTTCAACAGGTAGAGTTTATTTTCCTTCTGCTATTGGAGTCTATCTTTCTGTCTTTTTAAAAAATTGACACTGATATGCAGTTATTTAAGAAAATTGTATAAGGGTGGGAGGTGTGTAGCTCAGTGGCAGAATGCTTGCTTAGCATGTTCGAGGTGCTAGGTTCAATAACCAGGACCCCCCAACACACACTTCCAAAGTATGTTAGCTCAGTACGTCACACCTATAATCCCAGCTATTGGGATGCTGGGGCAGGAGGATTACCAAGTTCAAGGACAGCCTACGCAAGTTAGTCAGACCTTATATCCAAGTGAGAGACTAAAAAAAATACATATATATATATATGTATATATGTAAAGTCTGGGGACTTAGCTCTGCACTTCCTGGATTCAATCCCTAGTATTGCCCACCCCCTCAAAGTATGTAAAAATATGAGTGAATGGATATGTCTATCGGACTTTTCAATACATTGTTGTAAATGTATTTCTTTATCTCTGTATATAGGTTTTTGCAGCTGTAGTCATGCAAAGCCCATCTACAAAACTATAAATCTGTAGAGTCCCCAAACACCCATTTCTTTATGGATTGTTTTTTTTAAGCAGAGTATAGGCATAGCCTTGAAAATCCAAAAATATCTTTTATAATAAAGGATGAAATTACAAGTGCCATGAAAGATAAGGACATGCATGTCTTTCTATGCCTATTCGTGAGTCTGTTTCTTTAATCGCATCCCCATTTTCTCTCTTTTTTTTGATTTTTGTAGAAACCCTGGAACTCTTTTTTGCCTTGTTCCTCTATCTGGCCACTGATGTTCGGTGTGTGACTAGGGTTTCTTTTCTCTCAGTTCTTGAAATGGGGAGACAGAATCCTTTAGATCCCACTGACACACCTAATGTAGGTGAGAGAAGAGCATGTTAAAATTAAGGAAGAAATTGTTAAGAAATAATGGTGTCAGTCATCCTGACATAATGATAGTCAAGATTTTACTGAAAGGGTGGAAAAATCTTGGAAGAAATTTGCTTTCTGAATCAAGGACCAAAATGTCACCCTTTCCAGAATATTATTACATTTTGATTCATATGTATATAAAATTATATATATATGTATTTATTTTTTAAAATTTAGCTCCTATATTATAGGAGAAAGCTGAAGAATAATAAAAGTTTGTTAGGAAAATTGCTTTCCAAGTTTTGGCCTGGCAGATAGTATACTTTGTATCCAATTTCTTAAATATTTCATCATGTATAATAAAAAAAAAGTATTAAAAATGACAATGATTTTTCCCGCTCAGAATAGTTTTATTTTCTAATATAGCAAAAAGTTTTACATGCTTGGTTCAAATAGGCATTTAGCTTTTAAACTACTTCTTACTTATCCTTGGAACAACTGCTGCTTCATTATTTTGCTGGTGCTTTGCTCTTGAGACTTCTCAGTTACTAGGCTTCTTTATTTTATTGCTGTTTTTTATTCATACATAAAAATAAATCAGAGGATGATTTGTTGTAATAAAAATGAACATATAATTGCATGACTATACAGCTGAAAGTTCTGATGAAATAAAAATTTGTCTCCTGTTTGTAATATCTACTCTTTAGATCCAATCTGACACTGCCCAAAACTACACTATATATTATTCCATCAGTGGGCCTGGAGTTGACCAACAGCCTCGAAATTTATTTTATGTGGAGAGAGATACTGGAAACCTGTACTGTACAGGCCCCGTAGATCGTGAGCAGTATCAGTCTTTTCAGGTAAATTCTAAAGCTTCTATATTGTGTTAGTCATTGTCAAGCTTGACCATTTTGTGCCCATTCTTAATGCATTTACCTTTTTATTTAATCTTCTGAGTTGTCCCTGATGCTCTGGCTACATCTGATGGCACTGCACTGAATGGAAACAGAAATAATTGTTATGGAATGAATAATATTAGTTTTTACTGGATTGTTCCTGGTGTTAGTTTTTTGCTCTTGGTTTTTGCTTTTGTGCAAAAGAAACAGTGAGAGTCATTTTGAAGGGCAGTTAGTTAGTTGGTAGGAAGGAAGTGTGGGAACCTGCTGATGGTGTGGAGCTGCTACAGGAGGTGAACATGGCTCAGGAGTTGCATAATCCTACAATGAACAAATGTGAGGTGTGCGGGCAGTGCCTGATGAAGCTTAGTCAGTCTTCTCGTCATCCAGCTCAGTCCCAGTCGGTGTGTGAGTTCATGTGTAAGAGGCTGACCTCATGCTGGTGTGGCTTCCCAACAAGATCTGATCATCCTGCTGAATTTCATTTTAAATATTTCCTATCTATTTTGGATGAATTAATAAGCCATCAGGAGACCACATTATCCAAAAAGACATGCAAGCCTTGACTTAAGTATTTAGGTTTAGGATTGCCACATGACCTTCCAAGTATCTCAGTGTTCTGCTTTTAGAAGACAAATTAAAATGGAATTTTTTAATTATGAAATAAAGAAATAATTTATACTTATACAAAATTTACAGTCATTCATTTGTTATATTTCTAACTCCTATTTTTTAAATTAAGAAACTCTTAGGAACTCATCAATAACCCCTGATATGCCTAAAATATTAGTTAGTAGAAATAAAGATAATATCCCAATTAGTTGAATCTGGAGAATTTGTAATCCTAAGGGATCTGAATGAACAAAGATCCTGAAATTTATATTTAAAAGCCATGCATTGGAAACTTTCAAACAAAGCAAATCTCCAAGTCTTTTTCAGAAAATTAATAATAAAAAAATTACATGTATGAAGATGTAGCAACAGTGAGGAAATTAAGATGATCTGCTATTGTCTTGGATAAGTTTCAAGTGCTAAACTATACCATGAAATTAACTACTGCTTTTGGTCTTAGTGAGGTCCACATCCCAAAATAGTAAGAAGTGGTAAGACTAACTCTGTATGCTGTCTCTAAACTAAAGCCGAAGCAAGTTTGAATTATATCTTTTCCTTAATTTTTATTTTTGTTAGTGCCTGTTTACAGTGCATACTGACTGCATTCATCGCAGGGAGCTGGACCATGTACATAACCCATTGTAATTCTTCTTACGTCCCCTTTCCCCTCCTGTCCCTCCTCTCCCTCCGTCTCCTGGTCCCCTTCCTCTTTGCGAAAATCTACCTCGGTGTTTCCTGTTATCTATCTTTTATTTTGCCCTTTATGTACATTTTGAGTTTCTCATATATGAGAAACCATGTGATATTTAACCTTGTGTGTCTGATTCATTTCACTTACATTACGCATTCTATTTTATTTTAAAAGAATATGTCTTTTCCTCCTGGTTTTACTCTCCTCACAGCTGGTGGCCTTTGCGACAACTCCGGATGGGTACACACCAGAACAGCCACTGCAGCTAGTAATCAAAATAGAGGATGAAAATGATAACTACCCGATTTTTACAGAGACAACATACACTTTCACAGTTTTTGAAAACTGCAGAGTTGGTGAGTACCTGTGTTAACAGGATATGTCAGCTCAAGTGTGTTTTGAGTAATGAAGTGGATTTCACTCTGGCCGCTAGAAAGGAACATAAGTCTTGGTGGTAAGAACACCAAGAACAAGGGACACTGAATGCAGTGAACTCTGCTGTTTACTAGCTGTGTGGCCTTGGGCAAGCCACCTCGTTTTAACAGTCTTTAGTTTGTTCATCTATAAAATGGATTATCGAAATGCCGGAGGACTAAATGGAGCGTAATACACACGGAATGCCGAGTCCAGTACCTCAAAAGTCGGAGTTATTGAACCTTACTTTGTCTTCCTGTGTGAGATAAAATAAATCTTTTTAAAAAGACATGCTCTAGAAATGCTTAGTGATTAGGGACTTACCCCTGAAGATGTCTACTGAACTGACATTCTGTAATGACTACATAAATGAGTGACAGTATTCTGCAGATGATTATTATAAAGGTTGTTGAGAATAACACAAATGTTTCCCTGGTCAGGTGCAGTTGGTCCACTTTAGCTGCAAATCAGGACATGCACTTTGAGACTTTCTCAAGGAATACCTAACTGAACCAGTAATTTTTCAGAGAAAACTGATTCTGTGGTTAAAAGTGCAGGCCTGCAAATAGAAAAAGACTAAAGAATAACTAGATTTTTTTAGTGTAGAACTACAAAGCTCACAGAGGAAGAGTATCAACATTATCAAATCATACATTACATTCAGTAAAAGCAAACGTGATGACCCAAAGCCAAAATGTTAGAGCCCTAGGATATTTAAAGGAAATGATGCTTTATGTAGAGTTCTGTCAATTTAGGAAGCTGTGACCCGACTATAAATAAAGTGGCCCAGAACTTTTTGGGGCGTAAGTACAGCCGAGTAAAATAAAGGAGAGTTAAACACGTAAAACTTTGGAAATTAAACAAGTTCTTTTCTCCTCTAGGCACTACTGTGGGACAGGTTTGTGCAACTGACAGAGACGAGCCTGACACGATGCACACGCGTCTAAAGTACTCAATCCTCGAGCAGCAGCCATCGCGACCCACGCTTTTTACTATGCATCCCTCCACGGGCGTGATCACCACAACACTGTCTCAGCTTGACAGAGAGGTAACATGAGTATGGATAAATAAAACCCGGTTGTGACACGGCTACTAACAGTGCGGGTTCATTATTTCTCACTCGAAAATCTGAAATCTGAAAAGCTCCCTAATCTGAAGCTTTGGAAGCACTGACATGACATCACGTATGGAAAATTCCATGCCTGCCCCATGGACAAGTCATAATAAAAACTCAGGCATGCTGAGAATACTGGGTAGAATTCCCTTTCAATTATGCATATGAACAGCAAAAGTCTGAAAACATCAGAAATCAAAAACTTTGGGTCCTGATCATTTCAGAAAAGGTGTTCTTAGAGCCCGCCCTCGGATATTTCTGTATATCACTTGCAGATGCGTTTTTGAAAAACATGATATGAATGAAAATTTAGGAAAATTGTACTAATGGAGATCATTAAATCACCACACAGCATGGTATTTTTAAACTAATTTGTCTCTTGAATTTCATGTTTTATAAAATCAATATTTGTAAGGTAGACATAATATTAAACATAGGAAAGGGTCCAGTACGAAGAAGGAACCTTTTGGAGGCATGCAGAATTTAGTATTAGCAGAGGAAGAATTTTTTTCTTGTCTGCCTCATTTTTTCATCAACAGTCTCACCTTTTGCCCTTCCCCTTACAAAAACAAAAAGAAGTAATGTATCTCCCTGAAATTTGGTTTCCTGTTTTCAAATTAACTGCTAGGAATCCTTGTTTGAATGTCTCTATGATATAGTCTAGCTAAAACTTAGTGTCTTCCTTTAAACATACTTTCTTTCCCACACTTTCTAGCTAACACATATGAACAAATTCTTTCGCTATTAATAATTTTTCTCTCATCACCTTGAAGTCATGTTCTCAAGATTATATATTTTTTGTGGGTGTTGGGAAATGAACTCAAGACCTCATGCTTGCCAAGCAGGTGCTGCACCACTGAGCTCTCTGTATCCCCAGCCCCTTCAAGATTATATTTGATACTTTCCTCTGACCCTTTAGATCAGATCATTTTCCAGAGCAGGTTGATCCTGCTTTGAGACTATTTTACATTTTTATTCTCTGTGTACTGCAAGTACCCTAGCACACTCATTTTTTTTTGCCTAGTTACACACCAGTTACTTCTTCTGCCAAGCATTATTCACTTGAACTCCTTTAGAAATTTGTCTTTTCTACTTAGTAATTTATACAGTATTTCTTAATCTTAAAATATAGCGATATATTATTCGGTATTTGTTTGATCCCTTAAACTTTGTATCACTTTTGCTTCTTCTCTTTTCTTATCCCTCATGGATGAGAGCAGTGGTCCGCAAAATCATTTTGCACTAGGATTCCTTTACATTCTTCTCACTGTATACTATAGGCTGGTCTTGAACTTGCTGTGTAGCCCTAGATTGCTTTAAACTCATGATCCTCCTGCCTCAACCTACCAGATGCTGAGATTATAGTTGTGTGCCATCACCCCCAGTCCCCTTTACCTTCTTAAATATTGTTAAGGATCCCAAAGATCTTTTATGTTTGTGGGTTGTAATTGCTAGTGTTTACCCCGTTAGTATTTAAAGCCAAGAAAAACTGAAAATAGTATTAACATACTGACTTAAAATAACAAATCCAGTATGTGTTAAAGTAGATACTATTGTTATAAAAAATAAGTAAATTCTCTAAAACAATGAATAATTTAGTGAGAAGAGTAGCATTTTTGTTCATTTTTTCAAATCTCTTTAATAATTGGGTTACTGTAAGACAGATAGATTCTCATATCTCCTGTGTTTTCTCTGTTCGAATACATGTTTTTAGCTGAAATGCATATAGAAAATGTAACACGATATGAAGTCAGACAAGAGAGGAATATTTCAATGGCAATTTTCAGATCATTGTAGCTATTATGTAATAGTGCATCAGAACTTAACAAATGTAGTCTCCGATGGGGTTTTGCAATGTGGACTTTGAAGCTTCACCATTGAACTGTCATGTTGCATTTTGATCGATGGATTAAAATCCACTTGTCTATTTTGAGCTGCAAGTCAGTGTTTTACTGATGTGTGATTTTTAACATTGTGCATTAATCCTTTGGAAAATACTGGCTCACTGAGTTAGACGTGTTTCATTTAACAACATTGAAGAAATCACCTCTTCACTCCCATGAATACCTCAGTGATTGATCCAAGTTTTCTAAAGTTCTTGCTTCTGCTCCAAAACACCAGTTTCCACTGGCAGCAGATAACTGTTTTCTGTGAAATGATTTGCAATTTTTTTATTTTAAAGAGAATAATAATAAAAAGAAGAACAATAGCAAAATACCAACAACATAGACAAAAATAAAACAAAGCAAAAGCAATAAAAATGGTACGGGGTTTCAGAACAAAATGATAGGAACTAACAGTGGTTGTTATATGGCATAGTTATCGTCAATGAAGTTGCTCAGATTATCAGATGTAAGAATGCAAGATTGATCAAACCATTAAAGAAAATGAAAAATTTATGATTTTTTTCCAGATGCTCTAGCCTGAATAACACAGGTGTTTATCATGTAAAATTAGGGTTATCTTTGGGGGCGGGGGGAACCTAAAAACAATTAAGAAATCATCATGGCTTGTTCAGTTTACAAGTCAAACAATCACACAAGCACTTTCCTTTTTAATAAATCCTCTGATAGACTCAGTTAAAAATATTTGACCTCTAAGATGTTTTCTTTTTTTTTTTTTTTTTGGTTTTTCTCCGGTACCAGGAACCGAACTCATGATCTTGAGCTTGCCAGGCAGGCGCTTTGCCGCTGAGCTAAATCCCCAGCCCCTTCTAAGATGTTTTCTGAGTAGTGTAGTAGTAGTGCTGCTCTTCTCACTAGATTATAGCAACTTTTGATCCCAGGATTCCACCTTTCATTTGTTGCCTATATCATTTTCTCTTTCTTTTTTTATGTCTGTCTGTCTGTCTGCTTGTCTGTCTGTCTGTCTCTATCTACCTATCTCATTATTTTTCTGACAATGATTGAATGTAGGGCCTCACCCATTCCAGGCAAGTGCTGTACCACTGAGCTACATTTGCACCTCTTTTTATTTATCTTGAGATAAGTTCTTAAATTACCCAGACTGGCCTCCATTTTGCCGTTGTCCTGCCTCAGCTTCCTGAGTTGCTGGGAGTACAGGTGCATGCTACCTCACCTGACTCCTTCTACCTTTCTAAACATGGAAATTTCTCTTCTTCCTGAGGATATTGCCAGTTAATATTTAGGATAACAAAATTTTATTTCTTAACTAGCCAACTGATTTTTTTCTAATGAATTCCAGGGCACTGCCAAGAAAATTTCTATTATGTCTTGAAAGTGTAGTAGCATGATTTTATTTTTACTTTTTATTTTTTGAAACAGGGTCTCACTATGCAATTCAGACTGGCCTTGGCCTTGAGCTCACTGTGTAGCCCAGGCTGGCCTCAAACTTGTGACAGTCATCCTGCTTCAGCCTCTTGAGTGAGTGCTGGGATTCTAGGTGTGCACCACCACACCCAGCTTTTAAAACTTTAAAAAATTTTATTCAGGCTGTTATTTTTCAAGACTAAACATGTGACAGGTTATGAGGGAAAAGTGAATTGGGGAAATCACATATGCAGAAACGTACAAATAGCAACTAGTTTTACTTTAGTTAGTGTGGGAACTCAAGAAAGTCTGGAAGGTGATAGAATTACTGGGAAAAGGTAGCTTTTTAAGAGAAAGGTGACTGTTATGGAAAGTTAGGATAGATTTTTTGTGCATTATTTTTTCTTAGAAAAAGAGATGAATTAGGTAGGAAAGGCAATTACTACAGCCATTTTAAAGAAAAAGAATCCTAGGCAAAGAGGCATTTCCAGCTGTCCAGGATTGCATTTTGTGCCTCTGAGAGTTGAGAATAGAGTGTAAGTCTCCTAACTCTCTGGCAGGGAGATGTTACTATTTTCTGGGCTTTGTCCTTTTGTATCTCAATCACTTATGGTAAGTGGAACCATTATAGGGAGAAACATTTTCTTAAAGTAGGGATACACCTTCTGCAAGATCTGAAGGATGGGAAGCCCTAACAGCCATTTTTCCTAGAAGTGAAAAATTACATAGCCCTAAACCTGTGTTTGCACATTATCTTGATGATTTTTTAAATAAATGTAAAGCAAATTTCACAGGAGGATATTTCTCCTTATTGTCTTATTATAAGACTGTTATAAGAGTTGCTGGTATATAGTTTTAAATATATGAATGCCCTTTGGGTAAAGATAAATATTTTGATTACTTATCCGACAGCTTTAAAGATATGCTCATGGCTACAGCTTTCTGTTGGATAATAACACAACCAATTATGAGTTAGTAGCACTTTAAATTTGAAAATCTACACTATTTTTATACATTGATTGAAAATTACTAGCATGAGGAAATTCTTTTTCTAGTACATGAACACACTGAAATTTAGTAATTTGTAAATTATTAATGAAAGGAAAATTATACAATGTAAGATTTCATCTGTAGTATCGTTGCTTTCTCCCAATAATGAAATTCTTTCTTTGTTTTCAGGTAATTGATAAATACCAGTTGAAAATAAAAGTACAAGACATGGATGGCCAACATTTTGGTTTGCAGACAACTGCAACTTGTATCATAAATATCGGGGATGTGAACGACAACTTGCCAACATTTACCCGCACTTCTGTAAGTGTGTGATATTTAACAGAGAACTGTAGAATCCAGAGTTAATTGCTAGAGTGTGCACATTTCTATCTATGTCTCAGGATTTCAAATGAAATACACACAATGACATAATAGTGGTTTTATATGGTGACCCATATCCATGAGGACTAACTAATGCAACTCTCTTCATTTCTTTTCATCATTTTAGTATGTGACATCAGTGGAAGAAAACACAGTTGATGTGGAAATCTTACGTGTTACTATTCAGGATAAAGATTTAGCTAATACTGCTAATTGGAGAGCTAACTACACCATTTTAAAGGGCAATGAAAATGGAAATTTTAAAATTATAACAGATCCCAAAACCAATGAAGGCGTTCTGTGTGTAGTCAAGGTAAGAACGAGTTAGTAAATTTGTTTGTAATTTACAATGGGGTAGAATAATATACTAGGATTGAATGGAAGGAAAGGAATTCTGGTAAGTGTAAGGATGAACCAGATACACAGGTAGATATAAATGCTATTTTTTCATTTATATAGTGGAGTGAATGTATTTATCTTTGGTAACTTTTGTAAAAGGCATGATTTCTAAAAAACCTATCCTATGTGTTCCCTTAACATGATACAGTATCTACCTTACAACTGATACCTTAACAGTTCAGAAACTGGCTTGGCTTTGTTGCCAATAGACCTTGCCAAACTTTCTTAGACTGTCCTTTTTGTATCTGAGTCAAAGAGTTTTCTCCCTATGTACCAAATTTCCCGAAAGAGTTACCCTAGGTGAGACTATAGAGAAGCTATTTGTAGGTTTATGTGTGCAGTAGACAGTACGCCCTTAACTTCCAGATTCACAATGAAAGTCCACGCAAAGACATAAACACTTCTAAGATTCTTTTTAGTGCTATTTTACATCTGAGAACTTGCTCTTCCTTCAGGACCCAGAATAGTGCATAAAGCAATCTGAGCTGCTTTGACCTCGAATAAAGACATGGGTTTGTTTCTGCTGTATCTTTAAGTAGAACATGGTTGTATGGTGGGTCTGTGAGTTTTCTCTTATACTTGTTGTGAAGGAGCACCGATCACAAAGGATGAATCCCTTTCCGCAAAATAAGGAAAAGTAGCTCAGTTTATGAGTTAACATCTTTGTTTCAAAACAACAAGGAAGTGACCTTTAAATCCTGCCTCTTCACCTGTCACCTTCCCTAGGAGGAAAATTTATCTTTGTGAAGTGTAAGACCTAAAAAATTTTTTTCTTTCATTCTCATTACAACAAAAAATCAGGAAAACAACCCTGACGCATCCAGTTTGTAAGAGAGGAACTGGGAGAGAAGATAAAACAAGGAAACTTCCTGTTTTCCTATTGTTCCCTGCTTAACATTTTAGAAAATTTTTCTACCCAAACCAGATAAAAATATTACTTTATCTCAAGAGTTTAAGACACGCTGTCCTAAAATTAATGGTGTAGTAATTAATTATTGGTTATAAGAGCTCCAAAAGGAGATCCCATTTGTTAACATCCAAATACTGCAGCTTCATTAAGTTCCTCCTGGAATTGTCATCGGTACCTGTTATGCTACTTGTGTTAAATTTCCAGTTGAGCAAGAGATTTTTGTTTTGCTTTTGGCAGCTCCACTGAAATTCTTAATCAATTGAAGGAGTCCCCTCTTTTGAACATGTTTTTTGGCATGTATTTAACATTCTCATGACTGTTCTCAACCATAGTACTGTACTGGCACCGTTTCACGTTTAACAAGTGAACTATCCTAGTTATCATTGCCCCCTGCTAAATGATTTGATCTGATTGCCAACACATTTGCTTTTGTAGCCACTGGATTACGAAGAAAGACAACAGGTGACCCTGGAAATTGGGGTAACTAATGAAGCTCCATATATCAGAGAGGCTACTTCAAAATCAGCCATGAGCACAGCAACAGTTACAGTTACGGTCAAAAATCAGGACGAGGGTCCTGAATGCAGACCTCCAGCACAGACTGTTCGGATAAAAGAAAATGTACCAGTGGGGACCCGGAGCAATGGCTACAAAGCATACGACCCAGAAACAGGAAGTAGCAGTGGCATAAGGTGTGTTTAATTCCATGGTTGTTCATTCCAAGTTTATTGTTTTAATGATTTAAAGCTTTTTTTGGTATTCCCATTATAATTTAACATCTAATACTACTTGTTATTTTAATTCACCACTGTTTACAGGTACAGAAAATTAAATGATCCAAAAGGGTGGGTCACCCTTGATGAAAATTCAGGATCGATCACAATTTTCCGAAATTTGGATAGAGAAGCAAACTCCATCAACAATGGTGTATATAATATTACAGTCCTTGCATCAGATACAAGTAAGAAATTTGTTTCTAAGTCAGCTGCATTATCTCCAGCTATACACATCCTCAGCTTTTAAGTCAATGCCATACTTTCTATTTATTTAATTTTGGGGGGCACACTGGGGATCAAACCCGTGATCTTGTGCATGCTAGGTAAGTACTCTACCACTGAGCTATATCACCAGCCCCATTTTTAAAGCTTGCTCATACATTCACACTTTTTCTTCCTTCCCAGAATGACGTGTAGAGTGGTCGAGAGATTTGCTATCATTTACTTACTTGTGTCTGTTTTCTAAGCCCATCCTCAGTGTGAGATGTACTTATAATTTAGTCACTGAACACTGGAAACTGTAATGTATTCATGCTAAATAATCATTAAAAATTGAGAAATTATGTTAGTGAAAGTAACTTTGACTTATGTTTTCTTTACAAAATTTGTTTTTCCAGGAAAGTTCATTACAGGGAGGACATACTGATTTCCACATGGTGCACTTCTCGGAAACACTTGCCATTTTTTATAGGAAGCTAACAGTACCTGTGGGATTAGAGTTCTAATTAAGCACATTATTTAAAAATAAATTACAGTCACAATTAATAGCATATCATAAAATTAGTGATACCACTGTGAATCCATATACACATATAAAATGTGAAATTATATTCTATGAATACTGAAAAGTTAAAGAAACTGTGAATACGGTGATTTTACATAAGGCTCATTAGTCCATAAGATACAATTTTGCCATAACATACACTGGGGAAAAAATACTGACTATAATAGGTACAAATAATAATCCTTCTAGCTCAGAGTTTAGAAGTGATGTTGGAATATGATTTAGATATTCTAATTCTCTCTGAATTAATTCTAACATATTCTCTGAAATTAATCTCTTGCAATAGTCCTCCCCTGCTGACTTATATATTCTCTTCTACAATTCCTATTAGAAGAATACTACAGTTTTATTTGTACTGGAATTTAAGCTATATTTTCATTCTTACTTGATTAGTTATCCTTTGTTACATCTTTGAAGATCCTAAAAATTTTCCTGCTTCACGCGTGTCTTACATAGAGTAAATTAACCTTCTGACTGGCAATTTGGGGGCTTTCCTGCACTGTGATCATGTGGAAATTTCAGTAGACAGGCTTATATTAAGTGGGGAGTTTGCCTTCTGCTTTGGGGATTTTCCTCTCCTACTTTCCTATCCTAGCTAGCAGTTTTGTGGTTGGTTCTGCCTGCTCCTTCTCTGTGGCCCCTGATTTGAACCTAGTTCATAAACTGGTGTCCTGGTGCTCCTGACCCATGAGGACACTGGGATTATCAAAGTCCGGTTGTGTCACAGGCACCCTGGTTTGTTGAGGGTGTGGCTGCAGGACAGTAGATTAGACTCTAAGCTTTCTATGCTGGCTTTAAAGAGCTGCAGCTCTTCTTTTCATTCTCAACTCCCCCTACCTGCCTTTTCCTTCATTTACTGCAGATCGTGGCTATACATAGCATGCTGTCCATGTCCTTGAATTTCTTTGTGGTTTGTTGTTGTTGTTGTTGTTTTTTGAGACAAGGTCTCACCATGTAGTCCAGGCTGGACTTGAACTCACTATGTAGCCCAGGCTAGCCTCGAACTCATGGCAGTCCTCCTGCCACAGCCTCCAGAGTGCTGGAATTACAGGTGTGTGCCAACACCTGGCTCTTTGTGTTTTTAAACACACCCAAAGTACCCTTCTTAGTACTCTCTTCTTTATATCTTTTAAAAATCAATTTCAAGTCACTTCCATAAAAACTTCTCTGTTTACTGAAGAGATTTAGTGAATGGATGAATACATTTTGGAAGTAATATTTTTCTCTTACCTTCCATAAGGATATAGTTTTGGCTATGCTCATTACTATAACTTACACATTCTTGTTTAATTAAATAATAAAATTTTTCTAATATGTAATTCTTGGTGAAAACTCAAAAGATAAATTATTTTTATTTGCATTTTTTAGATGGAAGAAGTTGTACTGGAACCTTGGGAATTATCCTTGAGGACGTGAATGATAATGGCCCATTCATACCTAGGACTATAGTGACCATCTGCAAGCCCACCATGTTCTCCACGGAGATTGTTGCTGTTGATCCCGATGAACCCATAAACGGCCCACCGTTTGACTTTAGTTTGGAAAGTTCTGATTCAGAAGTACGGAGAATGTGGAGACTGACAAGAATTAATGGTATACATTTTTAAACATTGCTTTTGCCTTGTTCTAAACTTTAGGATGTCTAAACTGCTTTTTTCTTGATGAAATAGAAGAATAATTTACTATGTGGGAACCACTAATATTATAGGGCATGTTTCTCTGTTAGTGTGAAGTGGGTCTCTCTAGGGTCTGTCTGCAATCCCATATCAGGGTTCCCTGAGGTGTTTTGTGAATTCTCATCTCCATGCTAAACCCTTATCCACGCAGAATCTTGACATGGTGATAGTGTCCTAGATCACAAGCAAAATGCTCACAGGTTGGTTCCCTAATAATCGATTCTGAGAAGACTCTCAAGAAGAATGTTCATTAATGAATTTGCTTGGGATCAGTAGCTGTGCAAGGAAGGGAAGCAGCCTGGGGGGAAGGAAAAGCCAGGCTGCAGCTCAGGCTACACGATATAGCGTGGGGGTCTGAGCTAATGGCCTTCTGGAATCTTCCTGCACCCACTCCTTGTGCTCTTTCATTTTACTCAGTGATGGAGTGGCCCAGACAGGCATGAATGTAGGCAGTTAGACACCCTCAGGGAAGCCTCCCCAGCAGCTGAGACAGCGAGTCCCGTGCTGCAGGAGGATCTGATGCCCACAGTGGGGTGTTCACCACATCATTGCTTCTCTTTGCCTCTGTGGTGACTCAGGACCATCTTCTGTCTGTTCTGTTCTCCTTGGAATTTTCTCCCAACTTGGCTCCCAGTCTGCACTTTTCCCTTGAGCCAGGATCAGTGGTGATAGGTGCCGTGGCAGGGAAGGTGACTTCTCTGCATTTCCACATTTACGTCACCTCCTACATCAGCTCGCTTCTCTTCAGCACAGTCCTTGGCTGTTATGCAACCCCAAGTTTTCAGGGCATGTGCTTTGCTTCTTGTAATGGGAAATTAGGAAAGAAAGGCTGTGAAACAATGTGACAGTGGCACGCCAAGGGAGAAAAAGAATGGAGGCCATGTAGAAATAAGTGAAGGTGCTGTGTGTTGAAGCCTGTTTTGTGAACTGATGAGAGTTTTGGGTTTTTTTGTTTTTTTTTTTTTTGTTTTTAAAGTATTCTGACTGTGTATGTGACAGGGTAGGGTTCAACCCTCCTTAGACTTTGTCCCTTCTACTTATTTGATGTTATAATGTCATTTTGTCTTAAATAGTGTTGATAGGACGTGGTATTTTTTAAATCCTGGTTTAGCAAAATAAGACTTTGGCAGCAGTGTGTTTGTCAAATCTTTACTTCTTTGCTTTTATGGTGCTGAGACTCTAACCCAGTTCTTCCTGTGTACTAGGCACGTACTATATCATTGAATTATACCCACAGCCCCAAAACTTTGTTGCTGTAAAAAGTGGTCTGTGAATTTATCTAAAACCCTGGGTAACACCAAGTTAAAAAAAAAAAATACCCCAAAGAGAGTTCAAATCAGATAGGCTTAGTGTCAAACACTGGCTCCACCACTTATTATGTAAATCTGATCATGATATGTATTCTTTTTGAGGATCAGTTTATTCATGTGTAAAATAGGATTACTTTGGGAGCAAATGAGATAATAAATGAAACAGACTATGGCACGCAATGAATCATAACTTTTGGTTTTGTTAGGCTCAGTGTTCTTCTTCCTTTGCAACAGGCTACAAACATGGTTCCTCTCAAAATATTAATTCAATGGTATTTTCATCTCAACATTCAAATTTTTCTTTGGAGCTTCAAACCTAACACAAAAAATTGAAATTTCACCTTGATAGTTAAGTGAAAGAAGCTCTTGTTCTCTGATAAGTGTGGTGCGGTGTCCACATTAAAGCTTGTATTATGTCTTTGGCTCTAAACTCAAGATTGTACATTTTCCTTTTTAATGTTAAAAACAAAAATGAGCAGTTGTTCTCCTGTCCTTTAGGACGGGAAGATGTAGGTTTGGCAGCAAGACCTACAAATATATTTAAAGACAGGTGTGTTCAGAGTGATCAAAGTGAGTCTCTGGCAGTAAATCACAAGTATTTATGTATGTCTGGCAGAGTATGTGAAAACAAGGTAAAGACAGGAACCCAGAATTTCAGGCTGTTACTCTGCGATGAATCATGTATTAAAGAACACATACACTGACTGGTTTAATTGAGTATTTTAAAGAAATCATAAGAATAAACCTCTCAGCAAGCCTACTAGTTATGATAGGAAGAACTGGTTTATGAATGGATGAAAGATATTATTATAAGAGCCCAGAGACCTTTTTGTAAGAGGTAGCACAGGTAAACTTTTATATGCAATGTGTTCGGTACGGCTATGGATTAGACTTGCTTGGTCCACTCACTGCAGTTGCCAGCTGTTGTGCCAGCCCATTAGAAAGTCTGCTTACAGGGAAACATGCGTAACTGTCTGGTAACTAGTTACTGAAGCTCTCTGTAACACTTGGTCTTGTTTCGTTTTCCAGACACAGCAGCACGTCTTTCCTACCAGAACGACCCTCCTTTTGGATCCTATGTGGTGCCCGTGCGGGTTACAGACAGACTCGGCCTGTCTTCCATCAATTCCTTGACGGTTCGGCTGTGCGATTGCATTACCGAAGCGGAGTGCGACGTTCGCTCCATTGAGAGGCTGGGCGGTGGCTCAGTGAAACTTGGAACGTGGGCCATCCTCGCAATATTGCTGGGCGTAGCGCTGCTGTTTTGTAAGTTTTTTCTCTAATTCAAAGGCAGCACTTCGGGCTGGGGATATAGTTCAGCGGCACAAGTGCTTGCCTGGCAAACATGAGGTCCTGAGTTCGATTCCTGGTACCAAAAAAAAAAAAAAATGCAGCAGTAGCCTTTACCGGTCTTTACAGTCTTTTCTTAGACTCAACACTGTTTCCTGTTGCCGATCATTTGCTCATAGCTGCATTTCTGTCTAACACACTCATATAGTTAAAATACTTTAAGTGCACTTACATATAGTTCTTATTGGCATAGACATAAAATTTGGGATAGAATGATAGCATGTGTGGTGTGTTTGTAGCGTATCTGTTCAGGGCAGAACCTTTCTACTGAATACTGCTTTGGCACAAACAATCACACTTCATGTTCTAGAAAACGATTTTCTTTTAATACACAGTCTTATTTATGCTGCACCTGTGTGCAGCATAATCATTGCAAATTTATAACTTCACTTCACTGTATGACAGATTTAAAGAAAGTCCTGGGCTTCCTTTCTTCCTCCAGGTATCCTGTTTACCTTAGTGTGTGCGGCTTCTAGAGCAACCAGAGAAGTCAAAGCGCTGCCTGATGATTTAGCCCAACAGAACCTGATCATATCAAACACTGAAGCTCCTGGAGATGACAAAGTGGTAAGATGGCTGTGTTTTTCAAATGAGTGCAAGCTAGTGTGGTGGCATGGGACTGTACTCTTGGCACCCTGCACCCTGCGAGGCTGAGGCAGGAGGATTGCAGGTTGGAGCTCAGCTTGGGCGATTTAGCGAGCTTCTGTTTCAAAATAAGAAATAAAAGTGAACTGAGGACTAAACATTGTTAAGGTTTTGGGTTCATTCTACAATGCCACCCCCACCCACAGAGTACTGAGGATGAACAACCAGTCAATATTCCTTCCAAAATTATCTTTTCTGGGTGAAGATTTTTTAATATTAGATAACTTGCCATAAAATATTATCAATTTCATGGTGCGAGGAAGATAATTTTGATACCCCTTGGTGATACATGGTATTTTACTTTGTTCATCTGGTGTTCCTTAATGACAAAAGCCCTTTAGCTGTCATTATTACTTTCTACTTCAAATGCTTTTTAACATTTAACTGGGTATTTTTTTTTTTTTTTTTTGCATCTACTTAAACTGTTGCTTATGCTGTAAAAAGGTTGCATTTAATTAGTCACAGGTCACCAGCATAATTGTTTTAAATTTTTTCTGGCAACAGCAATAAAATCACTGCAAGCTTTGATCATCATGGGAAGAAGTTTAATGGACTCTTTCTGGCTGTAATGAGGGTTCAAAAGAGCCTGAAGCTGAGTATCTGAGATAGCAATTTTAGGAAGTGACTGCATTGCTATGACTTTTCCTAGCCCAGTATGTAGAAGAGGAGCAAGCAGATTTCCTATGAAAAATATAGTTGACAATCAGAGCAGGAAAGATAAGGAGGCAAAAGCATCATGGATTTAAGAAGAAATTGAAAAAAATATACACTTCAATTGTATTAGAACATCCAAAAACATAGAATGTCCTAATGGCCAAAATGTTGATGTTCTTGATATTTCCCCTACCCAGTTTTGTGTGCATCTAGGTTGCAGGAATTTATGGTTACAGCTAAGGTATTCATAGCAACTTTATTCTTTTTACTTTAGTTGAAGAAAACTGAATTGAACACTGAATAAAAAGTCTGATCAGTATTTCAGATTCCACTGTAGTCAGGTAAAAGGGAATCGATTTAAATTAAGAAAGTGAATACACACAAGAAATACTGCTACGAGGAATGAGATCCAGGAAAGATGTAACAACTGAAGTTGTATAAAACCCAAAGCAGCTTTGAAAGAGGGATAGACTACAAGCTTTTTGATTTGTCAACAGGTGTCAAACGCTAACATCTGAAATTTTTTTCTTATGTGAGACACTACATTTAATATTGGGATTGCAATGGTCAGGTACTCAGAATTGTCTGCCTTCAGAGAGCTTATCTCCTAGCACACAGAACAAATCAAGGCATGCTCTGCATGATGTTCTTCTAGTTCTTTTTTGCTGTCATTGTTCCCTTCTATATTTGTCAACATAAATGGTTTTCATTTCAGTATTCCACAAATGCCTTCACCACCCATGCTGTGGGTGCTTCCGGTCAGGCAGCCTGTGGCCCGGTGGGATCCGGAGTCAGAAATGGCGGGCAAGAGACCATAGAAATGGTGAAAGGAGGACAGCAGACCTTGGATGGCTGCCGCAGTGCCGGGCACCACCACACCCTGGACCCCTGCAGGGGAGGGCACGTGGAGATGGAGAACTGTCGGTACACGTACTCCGAGTGGCACAATTTCACCCAGCCCCGCCTCGGTGAGGTGAGATTCACTAAGTGTTCTCTAAATGTATTGTAATGTCTTTCAAACTTTATGTAAATAATTGCCATTTCATGTTTAGAATTTAGAACTTTCAATTTGAACCTATGCGCTGGAAAATGATTTTTTTTCTTAATTTTGACTCAGCTATGTTCAGATTTAAGTGATTATTTACTTTCCCTAATATTTTGTTTGTTTTTTAATACTCTTCCTGACATAATACGTTTAAATTACTCTTTCACGACTTTGTGCTAATATTTCATGAATGCCAACTCTGATCTTAGAGAGAAGTGTGATGCAGGCAATACAAGCAGGCACTGTTACTGTGCCGGTCTGGGAAGATCTGAGCTCACATCAATTTGGATTCAGTTTTGATGGATAAATTTTCACTCTCAGCCATCATTTTGAAAGGGAAAGCAATAATTACTTAAAGTGAACACTTGTATACTTGGTGCCACATGGGTGACTGTTAGAGACATACTGTATACTGATTATATAATGTGATTTTCTGATAGAGACCAATCATGTGCATTTTTTACATATAGGAATCCATTAGAGGACACACTCTGATTAAAAATTAAACAATGAAAGGTAAATCAAAGCAATTATTTTTATGAGAGTAAGTTTTGGTGTTGAAAATAATAATAATAAAATGTTGTGTTTTCCCATTGGCAGAAGGTGCATCTGTGTGATCAGGACGACAACCATAAGCACGCTGCAGACTACGTCCTTACGTATGACTATGAGGGCAAAGGATCGGTGGCTGGTTCCGTAGGGTGTTGCAGTGATCGACAGGATGAAGATGGGCTTGAGTTTTTGGATCATTTAGAGCCCAAATTTAAGACACTAGCAGAAGTGTGCATGAAGAGATGAACATGTTCTAATTAGTTAACAAAAGCCAGTGACATTAGCATCTATTTCTTCTCCTTTTAATTACAAACCAAGATGTTTTTTTTTTTTAAATGGAAGATACTATATTTGGAGCTTTTCCCCTTTATTTTTGTGGAATCTCCTTGGCCAAAGATACATTTACAGAGTGACTAAATTTTTTGAGTAGATCACAGATGGAAAATTTAAGGAAATTTGTGTTACTGTTTACATTTGGACATAATGACAGCAGCCAACTTATAGTGCAATAAAATTTAATGAATTCAAGTCTATATTTGTAGACTACTTGAAGAACAACCGTATCGAAGATTGTAGAGGATGTTATCTCCAGCTAACTAGTTAATTGTTCATATGGTGCTTGGAAACTGGTTTTCCTAAATATTCTAAAGTGTATATACTGCATGCCTGCTATTTTATTCTTGTAACATGGCCTTTCTTCATAAAGCAAAGGGAGATTTCTAACCAGGCATTGACTGTTATTACAATTCCATTTTAGTACAGTTACTTTTAGGTTGTATTCTATGTAGAATCCTGCACTGAATGTATGTTTTCCGTTACCTACTTTGTTAGTGAAATTTAAATTTCAAAAATGCTTTCAGGGTGCATTTTTATTGCAAGTCTTTTGACTTTGTAATGACTACTAATCTGTCTCTCTCTGTTTCTTTCTGTATCTCTCTGCCTCTTTCTCTCTCCATCTCTCTCTGTCTCTCTTTCTGACATAGATATATACAATTTCTTTCTCACCTATGTGTGTTTAAAATCTCTACTTGGGTTCATGAAACCAAATATTTTAAAAAATTGTCCCTCATTTTTTGTCTCTTAGAAAGTGAATTATTCCTTGTTTAATGTAAGCCTATGTATTCTTGGTATTTTCTTTCTAAAAGATCAATGTAATGTTGACTTTGTTGTTTTGAATATCTTGGTGATTGCTTCATTGCCTCCTCAACCTTTAATTAAGCCATTAAAAGTGTAGAACTGTGTCATGATTTTATTAGGGGCAACATTTTGTGTTAATAAAAGAAATGATGTAATTAGAATTAGGATGTGATATTTAGTGTGTAACAACACATTTTTAGTTCATATCTTTAGTGGAGTTTTAAATGGAAAATAGTGATGGCTTTTTGAAGTAAGCTTTGAAATACAGGGATCTTGAATGCTATCTAGAGTAACATTTTTATAACTTTTAAGATGAGATTACTAGTCATTTCTATATATTTGTAAAGTTACTGTTTAATGTTTTGTGATTAAGCTTTTAGCAGTAGCATTGGCCAAACTATTTAAATTTTAAAACAAGAAGACAAAATGAAACATCAGCCAATGAAATCCAGGCCGGATTTCAAACATATTTCAGTCAGCAGATTCTCTATGTCTGCTAACTGTGGATATTCTAAATACATTTTTAATATTTATGATTGTTAATGATGTATCTGTCACAAATTCACAAGGTTGGCTTGTCGTAATTATTGTTCAGAAGTACCTTAATTATTTCATAACCAATTATTTGAAACTTATCTTTTCAATCGTTTCCTTTACTGCTCAGTCAAAAATAAAGTCTCCTAGAGTTATTTTTAATAAATTATGTATAAAATTCTTGTCTATTACCAGTTATATTAAAGTAAATTAAATAGTTTTTAGAAATTAGTGTGTGTGTTAAAATCTTGGGGAGAATATCAGTTTAAGGAATTGTACTCTTCTTACATAAAGAAATGAGTCTCTTTTCCAGACTCCTATTATACATTTTTTAGCATTTAAACTTTTATTCAGAAAGTTCTTTGATGCAGTTATCACATTTGTATAAATTAGTATTCTCAAGATTGATGCTGTGGATATTGTCTAATTTGCATACTTTCTTTTTTATCATCTTAAAATGGGGAATGCTACTAAAATTCCTTTTCTAGGGTGGCTATAAGACATGTTAATAAAAAATGGCTTTTAAGCATGAAAATTATACAGAGTAGTCCACCTAAAGGACACTTCTAATAGTAGTAAATGACTAAATAGTTCATGTATTCAACCCATTTCAAATTAGCAAAAAAAAAATCAACTAAGAAAATAGGGTAACAGATTTTTTTTAAGCTTTATATTTGTTGATTGAGAAGATGTCTCTTTGTAATGATCATTTTATGGCTGGATCTTCTATATCTGATTCTTCAGGTCATGTATTGCAAGATGGCTGAAACCTCCGTCTGGGATTTTTACTTTGTAATGCTCTGACATGCTAAGTTCAAATTGGATAGAAAGCATGGGATGCATTTCTTCAAATGGGCACTAATTCTGAAACCCTATAAAAATCACAGGTTTAAGATTTCTCATGTGAGTCCTTCCTCAGCTGCTGTCTAACCTGTCTTGCTAGATATTAGCAGTCCTTTGATAGAGTTTTTGGCTCTTAGATAGATGCCTGGCAACTGTAAATACAAAGCCTTCAGAATAAGAGTCCCTGGGGTGGGTCACAGCTCCACCCTTGCTAGCTGTGGGTTTTGAGAAGCTACTTAAGCTTTCTAGACCTAGTTTCTTCACTCACTGATACTGAGGGATGTAGAGAAGAATACATGAAAAGATTAGTGTCACAATTACAAGTTAATTCATGAAGAGATGGCACAGAAAAACACTCAGTTTATCCTAGCTACTATTAGTGTTAGATGAGAGGAGAGCTTGCTTGGGAATAGTAGAAGCTTCAGTTTCTACTGTGCTTTGCAGTTGATATTTTTGTAATGTTGCTGCTGTTCATCTGCCCCAGAAGCCTGATCAGTATTGTACCTGACATGGCTGTTGGCAACTTCGTGGCTGACAATAGTTCCCGGGTCTCTCCCTGGTATTCAGGAAGGTGTATCTTATTCATCTATAGCTCGGGAATCAGTGTGACGAGTCTTAAGACTTAACTGAAAAGGCAGGTAAGATTTCTAATCAGCCATGGTTTGCCTCAAGGAAGCAAAATCTTAAGGATTTGCTCCAGTGACATGGAAAATCCTTCATTGCCAAAAGACAGCAATGGAAATCTGTTGTTAGTTCAGTACAGTTTTACTTAGGATCTCCTTGCAATAATAATTTTCTGGATTTTACCCTTATTTTGAGACTTTGTGTTTTAAATCCTGGATCTCAATTCTTTCATGCAAAATCTGACTTTGACTACTATATAGGCTTCCCCTTTAGTCTCCATCTCCATCACTTTTCCTAGGCTCCAGACTGATTTTGCTCTGGTCAACCCCTTTAGGATTATTCTGAGAATACAATGGGTTCTCTTCTATGTGCTTAGAATCTTTCAATAAGTGAAACTCCAAGGGGTTACATAACATCTCTGGAGATCCATAGCTCTTGTTCATTTCTGGGAGGTCCCTGGTAACACTTAGCACTTTAACCTCAATGTATGAAAAGCTAAGCATGGTGTGTAACCACTTTGAATGAGGTGCTCCTGGGTTTCCTGTCTGAGTGATGTCTTCTTTCTAACTAATTAGGGAACTGGGAATCCTTGACTGCTCTCTTCCTTACACAGCACATCCTATTTGTTGCCCATACTTCCCAACTCGGAGACTTTTAGAGCTAGTTTCATTCATGAAATAATATACTTAGCAGCAACGTTTTGATGAGCCCCCAGTACAGTCATGCATGGCCATAATGTACACCATAAAGACTGCCTGCTTGAGAAAATACAAGATGAATCAACGCCTTTCCCTGCCCACATACTCTAATGCAGGTCAAGACATGGTGGAGGAGACTAAGGAGTGGGTTAACGCCTGTAAAACACATCATATGGTGCCTGGCACTAGGAAGTACTCAACACGTTTAGAAAAGCTCCAGGTAATGTCAACTAGTACTGTACTAGTGACCTTGTACTCTTGCTCTTCCTAAGCCAGGTGTCCCTGAGAGTTAAGTGCCACCTGCCTCTCCTGCTCCTCTTCTTCTCTGTACTAACTGCTCATCCCACCAACATCCCACTCACCCTCCACATCCCCCACATCCACTGGTGTTTGCATCTCCAATATCTTTCCTCTTTCTTCCTCTCACTGCCAGCAAAGAACAGAGATGATCCCAGCACTTTCCTGCCTGAGGGCTCTTGTGGCTTTGGAGGACAAATCTGAAGCACATTCAAATAGTGATTTTCCTGCCCTTCACACATACACACACACACACGCGCGCGCACACACCCCACCTGAGATGCAGCTGTTTGCATTTATGTTTGTGAGATTATTGGTGGTAGGTGGTGTCAGGCTGACCTGGGTCCCAGTAGTTAGCACTTTCACACACTCCCTGTCTTGCTCAGGCAGGGGTCTCCATTTTGCAGTGTCCCAAGTCACTCGTCCATTTCTTTGTAAAGATATGATATTTAAAGATATAGCTCAAAGGCTATCCTGGAAGGCATTTGCATGTCTAGAACACATCACAGTTTTCACTTACAGGTTTCTGTATATGTACACATGGGCGTGAGTTTCTGTCCTCATGTAGGAAGCTCACCTGAGAATAGAAAACGTTCACATTTACATGTCCTTACAACATAGGCTGCCAACATACTCCGCTGAAATCACATTTTATTGCCCTAGTCATTATGAAAAAATATTAAAGGTTACAAGTTAGATTTTGTGATTCTTCCCTTGCTTTCTTTTGGCACATAATTTCCAGGATGTATATAATATTCTGTGATCATTTTTTAAAAAAAATGTAGAGACCTTGGATGCCTAGAATGTCAAACATTTTCATTTACAATGTAGAGCAAGAAAGGGCAGCATTGATGTTTTGGAGTCCCTTCCTGCTTCTCCCTGGGGTTGTGTAGGTGGCAGGTAGCAGGGCCCCGGAGTGTTGTGGTTTCAGGTTAGCTCAGCTCCTCCTACAAGTAATTGCACAAGACTGTTTGGAGCCAGCTGCACTGTGGGAAATGTAATCCCCAAGGCTGGCTGGCTGCCTTCTTCACTGTAGGCTGGCCCATAGGGTAGTGGACACTCGAAATGTTGGCTGTATGAATGAATGCATGAGTTTGCATGTGTATTATGTAACTGACCAAGTTGGGACTACAGTGTTGCCTAAATATCCTTTTATGTTTTCAGTGTGAAACTCAATGACCAATGCAAAAATCACCAATGTGACTATCACTTCATTGTCACCATGTTTCAGCATTAGTGAAAAAAAAATTTTAAATGATGAACCACCACCTGGAGAAAAGCAACTAAGCACTATTACACTTTAGGAATGATTGTTATGAGTCTGCCAAAGCCCCATTATTTATAAACTGTTTTATATCAGACCTCAGTTTAAGAGGCATCAAGAAACCAGAAGGCAAGGAAAGGGACAGGGATCTGTGAGCTTTTTCCAAGGCTGCATTCAGCACAGGAGAAGAGCTGCAGGTGAAGGCTGGAGGAAAGGAACTATGCGGCTGCACGCCCCTAAGGCAGTGAGCAGTGAGCTGATAATGTTTCCCGGAAGATAACTCCTAAATTGTGGGGCCTGGGGCTGCCGCTCTCTCCCTCTGTGTGTAGGGTCAGACCTACTCAGCTAATGGTGGAAAGGCTCAGTAAGCAGCAGAACAGCTGGGTGTCTGGCTCCTGCTCTCCAGTGGGGCAGCATTTGTAGGTATTCCTCTAGTATTTCCTCTCTACCAGTTCTGAACTTCTAGGTTTGAGGACTGAAATCCTAAAAGTGGGATCTGATCTTCTTCCCCAGGAAGATCTCTCCCTACCTGTCTCTGGGACCCTACTCCAGCTAAGAAGCAACGTAAATCACATTGTGTGTGTGTGCACGTGTGTGCATGTTTGTGTGTGTGTGTACAAATATGTGTGCAGGCGAGGCACTGGGGATTGAACCTAGAAGCACTCTACCACTGAGGTACACTCTATCCCTTTTCATTCTTTATGTTGAAACCATATAGCTACGTTGCCCAGGCTGGCCTTGAACTATCCTGCCTCAGCTTCCCCAGAAGCTGAGATTATAGACAGGTACCATTGTGACTGGCTTAAATCATTTTTTCTAATTAAAGAAAAAAGAAAAAAACAAAAACAAATTATCTGTGATGACTTTTAAAATTTGTGTTCCACTGGTAGATATGTAGACAGAGAGATATCATATCACTATCTAAAATACATTCAATATATTTGGTGTTAAATATAGTAAATTTTCTGCACAATTTGCATATTTTGCTACTGGCAGAAAATTATATGTAATATGTTTGTTGTAAAATACAGATGTGTATTATATACTATTATATATACTGTATACTATATATTATCTAGTGTATCCTACATTATGTATGTATTGTCATATACTGATTTAATATTAATTAATATTAGGTTATCTATAATATATAGGTTATAAAATGTTATATAATATTATCACATTTAATATTAGATTACATAATCTATAACATACATTATACTGTGCTACTAGTAGAATATGGCAAATATAATTTATGAATAAGTAGATAATCATATATAATTATATATAATATATGATTAATTACTAATAGGAAAATATTTTAATAATGAGGCAGGGAATTAACTCCTTATTTCTAGTAGCCTTCCATTCAGATTTTGCTGCCAAATCAGATAACAATTAACACATTTTGAAATATTAAAAAAAATCATTTTTGCTTAAATTTTATTTTAAATAAACAAATAAATTATTGAACTGCACTTTAAATTAAGACATGCAATATG